AAGTAATGTTAAATAATGTTTACATTCAGGATAGTGACATCATTATTTTAAATATGATCCTTACGCTCTCTGTTCTAATATTCATGCAGTATTTAAATGAATGTTTGAACCAGCTGTATGGAATTGTGAAATCAAAATTAATTTGACAGTTAGTACTGCTTGTTTACATTTTTAAACTTTGTAGGTTTGTTCTTTGTTGTCATGGATACCATCAATCAAAATTTACTTTGAAATCTCTCACCTCCGATTTTTGAAAGCCCACGGGGCAGAGCCCTAGGACAATATTGAAGCGGAAATAGTTCTATATGTATCCTCGGAACTGTAGCTTCATGTGTGTGCAATTTGAGCCCAATAGGTTCAGTAGTTTTTGAGATTAGCTCATACAAACACACACACAGACACCACCTCTTCTTTATAATAGTATATAGATATAGATATAGATTACGACCTTAAAGGGCAATTTATGAAATAATGGGTAGTTTTGCGCAAGGTGTCTCGTCATGAAGAACATTTTAAGTATATGGTTTATGTGGGTGTGACTTGTAGTTTTCTCAAAAGTTCGTGGGTAGTTTGGGAATTATATATGGATTGATCCAATCAAAGTACAATTAATTAGTATTACAAAAGTATGCCTCCCTCACTATTCATTACAACAGTTCGAGGTTGGTTCAGTTTTCAGTTGTTTCGTGATGTGATTTAAAATGTTTAAATTAAGTAAAATAAGGTGTGCGAACATCGAACCCACAAAACGAATGGCTGTCATGTTTAGAATGATTAACAATATTTAAAAAGTGCTTCGCATATATTTTTGTTAATCACACAAATACAAAACTAATGTAATTTTAGAATTTAAAATAATAAGCCAATGACAAAACATACTCCCTTCGTAGATTTCTCATCCTCATGGAACAGCTGAAGCCAATTCTATTGTTAGTTATGTCCGGTGCACTTTAAGAGTCGTGTTTTTTACAATTTTTCTTGTCATCTCAACAATAACTCGTACCCTAGTTATATAACCAAACAGTAAAGCTCAAGTCATGGCATTAACTCTAAAATAATAGAAACGAAATGTCATTGACTCTAGCACCCAGTGTCATTGGACATGAACTAAACACTAAAACAAGCTTCAAAATTTTCAATGGGATGAGAAGTCTACTTGTAGTTGGTTTGTCTATGAATGAATAAACTAAACTGCAGAAAGAAAGATTTCTAAATAAACTATACTGTTACATTAATTTGGCCAGCTATCTTCACGGCGATAGAAGTCATAGGCAATGGTTATAAGCCAATCATCGAACCCTCCTAGTGAGGGTAACGACTATCAGCTTTTCAAAGAATAAGGAGTATATTATTATGTCATATCAACTACTGCAGGTGTGAAAATTCAAATCGGGATGTCTTATAGCAGCTACGCTAGATTCAGTGCGAGAGTCTAGCGGAAACGGAGCGAATTTGGGAAACTGCCTGGACATAAAATCACAAATAAGTCAATTTTAAACTCTATTTTTACCTTTTATCTATAGTTAAGATAATCAAATCAGAATTAAAGTTTGTTTAGTCAATAACAATTGAAAAATGAATAATCAAACGAATGAAAAAGATAATAACGATGTAAGCGAACTCTAACGGCAAATAAGTGAACCGTTTACAACCTATCGGGGACCGGGCGAACTAGCTCCACTGGACTACTTTATTGACTTACCAATCTCATTAAACAGATTTCGATGCATGTTTGATCAAAATATTCGATCCTCAATCTATTGGAAAGATGAAAAAATTTCTTGGAGGCAGTTCATTTAGATTTATCTACGTTTATATGACTTATTTTACATAATGAAATAGTGATAATTGTCCTGAACATCATTTAAAAATCGAACACGTGACTTATTGGTCAAACACGATGCATATGGTAATACTAAAAAACTAACTGTTTTCCACTGTCCGTGATTAAGTCAGTAAAAAGACATATTACAGATTTATGATTATTCATTATTTTACAAAAATATGCAATTGTACAGCTGACGCTATCTATGAGATAAACTAGAATCTACATTCTGCTTTACCGATGTCGGCTAGTAGTTCGCATCATGGCCACCAGTCTCTGTTCTTTCGGACTTGTTTTAAAAGTTGACAATTAATTTTACGTGATACGTTTATCAGTATTAATAATCGATATGTTCAAACCATTATTTTATTTTTATTCATTATTATGTGATTCCGATAATATTTTCATCAATGTTAACCACGTAACGGAATTACACGATCAGGCCTTCGACTTAATGCTACTGCCACGTAGGTTACTTATTTGTAAGTAAGCTCTGCAATGTTTAGTTCATAAAATGTTAAAATCCAAAAAATATCGCAAAAATGTATTATTGAATTGACAAATATAGCCTAACTTAAATTTGTAATAATATTGTTGATTCCAATAATATTGTTGTATATTATTAAAATTTCGTACACCACGGGTCTGTACTGGAAATAACGTAACACCCTTTAATACTTTTATGGTAGTAGTAGGCCTATTTTAACCAGAAATGTAGGAACTACCTTTAAAACTGCATGTATGTGAAACTAGCTGTTACCATTGACTATTGGATTGGATACAGAGGCTGTTACTGTTAAAAGCTGTTACTCACGGGCTTCAACCCGTTTGACTTCTTAAGTATTATAAAACTATTGATTGGTTAAGTTAAGTCGTAATATACAAAATAGAATACAGTTAATACAAAAAATAATTACACCTGATTTTAATAAGGTAAAATTACAAGAATAACATACAAATAAGTACAGCTGAGGTATTTAAAACATATTGAAAGTTACCTTTAGAAAAGAATTATGACCTTAAAGGGCAATTTATGAAATAATGGGTAGTTTTGTGCATGGTGTCTCGTCATGAAGAACATTTTAATTAAATGGTTTATGGGGGTGTGACTTGTAGTTTTCTCAAAAGTTCGTGGGTAGTTTGAGAATTATATATGGATTAATCCAATCAAAGTACAATTAATTAGTATTACAGAAGTATGCTTCCCTCATTATTCATTACAACAGTTCGAGGTTGGTTCAGTTTTCAGTTGTTTCGTGATGTGATTTAAAATGTTTAAATTATGTAAAATAAGGTGTGCGAACATCGTACCCACAAAACTAACGTTAGCCATCAGGCTGTCATGTTTAGAATGATTAACAATTTTTGAAAAGTGCTTCGCTTATATTTTTGTTAATCACACAAATAAAAACTAATGTAATTTTAGAATGTAAAATAATAAGCCAATGACGAAACATACTCCCTTAGTAGATTTCTCATCCTTATGGAACAGCTGAAGCCAATTTTATTGTTAGTTATGTCCGTTGCACTTTAGTGGTCGTGTTTTTTTACAATTTGTTTCTTGTCATTTCAAATAATAAACAATAACTCGTACCCTAGTTATATAACCAAACAGTAAATCACAAATCATGGCATTAACCCTAAAATAATAGAAACGAAATGTCATTGATGACTCTAGCACCCAGTGTCATGGGACATGAACTAAACAATAAAACAAGCTTCAAAATTTACAATGGGATGAGAAGTCTACTTAAGTAGTAAGTCTACTAAGTATTTTAAGTGTTATAACACGTATCTTTATTTACTTTCTGTAAGTCTACTTGTGGTTGGTTTGTCTATGAATAAACTGAACAGATAGCATTATTTATAAATATACTATACTACTGTATTAAGTTGGCCAGGTATCTTCAGGTGACAGAAGTCATAATCAAGGATTACAAGCCAATCACATCGATGTATGGATAGCGCGCTAGGTGGTGGAAAAACGGTCCGTGCCCGCCAATCGAATTGGCGGGATACTGAGGCGAACGGTCCGAATGAACCTCACTGTTTTACACAAACATACATTCACTCAACCTGCTCTGCTACATTTATTTGTTAACATAAAAATTTCAAATTGATATATTGTTTTTCTGGAAAAACCAGTGCTTATTACTATGTAGTTAGTTTTTACCTTAACATATTTTTTTATAATTTATTTAGTCAAATTAAAACTGATGATTGTTTTTTAACACCATTAAAAACATGAAAAATGTAGTAAGCGAGGAACTTTTTTATTTTTTGGTCAGGAAAAAAATTCCTGCGGCAAAGTTTTAAATCAAAGTATGAATTTTATTTTTTATTTGAAGCTTATTTTGATACGGAGTCTGCTTGTATCCTTTTTAAGCGATTAAAAATAGGCATAAAATCGCTTGGCGCGGCATTGGCGCTAGGGGCTCGGCCGGCTCTGCATCAGTTTACGGGATCTAGAAACTGCGTTTCTAGCATTTAATTATCATTTTATTACATCAAATATGTCATTACATTACGAAGAATGGTAACTAAATTTACAAGCGTATGTTTATGCATTTTAATGCTTACCGGTAGTCTATAGTTAACTAAATTCTTTGAATCAAAGAATAAATGTTGGATTCCACAGTAGTATTTAGTACCTGAGAAAATATTTTGTTATTATTTTACTTCAGTGAGAATAATCAATACATTTGAGACATTGGCATTAAATATTATAGGCTAGACTCATTTTATTTAGCAACATAATATGTTTTCCAAACAAGTTAATCACAGTATGATAAAGAGACATACGCTATAAACAAAATATCTTAAATGTTGCAAAGTATCTCAATAATAATTGGGCGTCACAGCAGCAAATGATGACATGCTTTGTGATCAAATAATTATTGTGATATATTTTGCTCTGTTTAATGTTCAAATATTAATAGATCTAAATCTTTCATAACATCACTAAATTTCTTATGAAATTTACTTTTGACACATAGTTTATAAAGTGTGAGCAAGTACGTAGATTAATTATATCTGCCTATTAAAACCTCATTAAGTTCGTTACAATCAATTATCCTCAGAATATTTCCACAAAACTAAGGCCTACCATACACGTTCCGGTTTTCCTTCAGTCCCGGACTGTACAGTCCTGGACTGAAGGAAAAACTGAACGTGTATGTCGATTCCTTCAGGCAGATCGTTGGCCGGACGGCCGGATGTGAATCACATCCGTCCAGGCCCGGCCTTGAGGCCGATTTGAACGTGTATGGCGAATCCCGCAGTCCAAGACAGTGCTGCTTCCCCCCTCCCACCACATTTTCAGCTTTATCGCATGTGCACGTGATTTTTTTACTTCAATAAGCAAAGAATACCACAACAGGTACATGAGGGAAGCAGCTTATAAAGAATTATTAGATTTATGAACAAATCTGACACAAAAAGAACAAAGGACACTGTGGTGAAAAAATAAAAAACTTACGGAGTGCATTTAGAAAAGAGTTAAAAAGTAAAATCTTCACAAAAGTGGTACTTCAGTGAGCTTAACTTCCTATTAGACCAAGAGGAGGCAAGACGACTCCTGCCAAACTGTGCAGTTCCGGACTGAGCGTGTGTGGGGAGGTCACGACTCCGGCCAAACTGTGCAGTTCCGGTCTCAAGGCTCGGCCTTCAGTCCGGGACGGAACGTGTATGGTAGGCCTAACATAGCAATACACGGCGAGAGCGGGCGCGACGCTCGCCACTAGGGTGACTCATGCCTTTATCCCCACTCCTCGCGGATAGAGCGAGGCAGCGGCGGACCGTTTTTCGAGACCTACTGCAACCTGAGCGCGCAATCCAGGGAGTTATTATACATCGATGGCCAATCATCGAACCCTCCTAGTGAGGGTACCGAGTTTCGGCTTTTCAAAGAATAAAGAGTATATTGTTATGTCATATCAACTACTGCAACTGTTGTGTGAAAATTCAAATCGGGATGTCTTATAGCAGCTACGCTAGATTCAGTGCGAGAGTCTAGCGGAAACGGAGCCAATTTGGGAAACTGCCTGGACATAAAATCACTTATACGTCAATTTTAAATTCTAGTTTTACCTTTTATCTCTAGGTACGATAATCAAATCAGTATTAAAGTTTGTTTAGTCAATAACATTTGAAAAATGAATAATCAAATGAATGACAAAGAGAATAACGATGTAAGCGAACTCTATTGGCAAATAACTGAACTGTTGACAACCTATCGGGGAGCGGGCAAACTAGCTCCACTGGACTACTTTATTCTATATGTCTTGATAAAAAAATGCGATCCTATCGACTATTGAAAGGAAGCAAAAAATAGAGGATTCTTGGTGGCAGTTTATTCAAATTACTCCACTGTTGTGACTTATTTTACATTTTCTAATATTGCGAATGAAATAGTGTTAATCGTCCTGAACATAATTTATAAAACGAACACGTGACTTATTGGTCAAACATGGTGCAGGTATAGTAATACTAAAAAATTAACTGTCTTCCACTGTACGTGTTAAAGACAATAAAAGACATATTACAGTTTTATGCGTATTCAGTACTTTACAAAAATATACAATTGTACAGCTGACGCTATCTATGAGATAAACTAAAATATGCATTCTGCTTTACCGATGTCAGCTAGTAGTTCGCATCACAGCCACCAGTGTCTGTTCTTTCGTAGTTGTTTCAAAGGACTTGACAATTAATTTTATGTAATACGTTTATCAGTAAAATGGATAATCGATATGTTCAAACCATTATTCTGTTTTTATTGTCATTATCAATGTAAACCACGTAACGTAATTACGTGATTTGGTACTGCCACGTGGGTTACTTATTAAGTAACCTCTGCAATGTTCAGTTCATATAATGTTAAAATCCAACAAATATCGCAAAAATTTATTATTGAATTGACAAAAATTTTCTAACTTAAATTTGTAAGAGTACAATATTTGTTGTTCGAAGGATTATTGCGGACTTCTTCCATCACGATGGCAAAAGACAATACACAACGTTTCGGGATCTGGAATCTTATCCCGTCCTCAGGTGAACAAACTTAACTAACACATTACAATTAACAATACACAAACCCTATTTTATTTTTGTATTTTGATTTTGTTTGTTTATTTTTGTATTTTTTGATTGCTTCCCTCTGTAGTGTATTCCAAGTTAGGTTGTTCGTTTGTGTATTGTTAGTTCTAATGTGTTAGTTAAGTTTTTTCACCTGAGAACGGATTTTGATTCCAGATTCCAAAACAATGTGTATTGCTTATTACCATCGTAATGGGAAATGTCTGCAATAAACCTTTGAACAACATTAACTCACCATCACCACAGAAAACAAACTAATATAGTAGTATGTTATCCGTGCCATCACCAACAATGATCTTCAAACGAAGAACATAATATTTGATGCCAATAATATTGTTGTATTTAGTTTTAATTTCGTACACTACGGGTCTGTACTGGAAATAATGTAACACAAATTAATACTTACATGGTAGTAGTATTTTAACCTAAAATGTAGGAACTACCTTTAAAACTGCATGTATGTGAAACTAGCTGTTAACCACGGGCTTCAACCCGTTTGACTTCATAAGTATTATAAAACTTTTGATTGGTTAAGATGTAATAAACAAAGCAGAATACAGTTAATACAAACACATAATCACACCTGATTTTAATAAGGTTATACATCAAAATAATACCATGCAAATAGGAATGGGCACAGCTGAGGTATTTTTAACATATTGAAAGTTACCTTTAGAATTGAATTACGACGTTAAAGGGCAATTTATGAAATAATGGGTAGTTTTGCGCAAGGTGTTTCGTCATGACGAACATGTCTTGGCGTTGACACGAACGCCCATTGTCATCGGACTTGAACTAAACACTAAAAACAAGCTTCAAAATTTTCAACGGAACAAGAAGTCTACTTGTTTGTCTATAAATAAACTGAACTGCAGATAGAAAGATTTCTAAATATACTATAATACCGTATATACCGTACTAAAGGTTGCCCAGCTATCTTCAGGTGACAGCAGACATAGTAAAGGATTATAAGCCAATCATCGAACCCTCTTATTGAGGGCAACGACTTTCGGCTTTACAAATAAAATATTTAGATTTTTTCAAATGCTAAAGTGATGAAGTATGAAAATCCAAATCGGATTGTCTTATAGTAGCTACGCTAGATTCAGTGCGAGAGTCTAGCGGAAACAGAGCGAATTTGGGAAACTGCCAGGACATAAAATTACAAATATGTTAATTTTAAATTATATTTTTACCTTTTACCCATAGTTAAGATAATCAAATGAGTATTAAAGTTGGTTTAGTCAATAACAATTGAAAAATGAATAATCAAACGAATGACAAAGACAATAACGATGTAAGCGAACTCTAACGGCAAATAAGTGAACTGTTGACATCATATCGGGGAGCGGGCGAACTATCTCCACTGGACTACTTTATTCTATTTGTCTTGATTAAAAAATGCGATCCTATCGACTATTGAAAGGAAGCAAAAAATTGAGGATTCTTGGCGGCAGTTTATTCAAATTACTCCACTGTGATGTTACTTATTTTACATTTTCTAATATTGAGAATGAAATACAGTTAATCGTCCTGAACATAATTTATAAAACGAACACGGGACTTATTACAATAGTAAGCCTCGTCATAGACTAATACTACGCCTAGTAAGACTAATACTTAGTAATAGTAAGTAGTCATTTAGTAAGCCTGTCTGTATTATTTATAATTTATCTTATAGGTACCTATTTTTTGTGCATGTAAACTTAATTGATGTATAGCTTGATTGCATGTATCTCTCTGATTACCTTGTTTACTATTTATTGACATGATCTATTGTATTTTATGTATAATGTTTAATGAGCAAATAAATCTATCTATCTATCCATCTATCTATCTATCCATCTATCTATCTATCTATCGATCCATCTATCTTATTGGTCAAACATGGGCAGGTATGGTAATACTAAAAAACTAACTGTCTTCCACTGTACGTGATAAAGACAATAAATAGACATATTACAGTTTTATGACTAATCAGTATTTTACATAAATATATACAACTAGCTGTACCCGCGGGCTTTGCCCCGCTTAACTTCATAAGTATTCGCATGGCTCAATCACGTCCTGGTTGAAGTTCGTTCGCTACGCTCACTCACCTTCAGGTTGGAAATTGTTCGCTGCGCTCACTTATTTTCAGGTTAGCTCGTTCGCTACGCTTACTCGCCTCCAGGTTGGTGTTCGTTCGCTACGCTCACTCACCTTTTGGTTGCAAATTAGTTGTTGTCATACATGTAAAAAAGTCATCCCTTTTATTGTTTATAATACAGTACTTTTATAAAGGTTTTTATGTTTTAATCTTTAACAATGGAGAATTTAAACGTGGTTAAGTGCACAGGTGTGCTGCAATTGGGGTTTAATACATTTGGACTTATTCAAAAGTAAAATAGTTTTCTGTGCTGCAATCTGTAGAAACACTGTGGCACTATTTCAAATCATGACTAATGCTAATACAGAATGTTGTAGTTATTCAAACGTACAAAACAGTTGGTGAAAGTAATCATCTGCTTTTAAATTATATTTATTTGTAAACATTCTAGATCAAAAAGTCTGACATTGGCCCACCTAAAACCCTCTGGGGTAGAGCCCTTTTGACGGATCTGCACCAAACTTCACTCGAACCATCCTTGAAAGATGCTTAATAATGCCTGAAAGTTTCATTACAATCTGTAGAGCGGTTTCAGAGTCCATAACGTATACACACACACACACACACACACACACACACACACACACACAAATATATATATATATATATATACATACATACATAGTTCCTCTTTTATAGATAGATTGTACAGCTAACGCTATCTATGAGATAAACTAAAACCTGCATTCTGCTTTACCGATGTCGGCTGGTAGTTCGCATCATGGCCACCAGTCTCTGATCTTTCGTACTTGTTTCAAAAGACTTGACAATTAATTTTACGCGATACTTTTGTCAGTATATTAATAATCGATATGTTCAAACCATTATTCTGTTTTTATTGCCATCAATGTAAACTATGTAATGGATTTACGCGAGTATGCATAGTTAATAATACTGCCACGTAGGTTACTTATTTGTAAGTCAATTCTCTAATGTTCTGTTCGTAAAATTTAAAACCCAACAAATATAGCAAAAATGTATTGAATTGACAAATATAGCCTAAGTTAAATTTGTAATAATATAATATTTGATGCCAATAATATTGTTGTATTTAATTTAAATTTCGTACACCACGGGTCTGTATTGGAAATAACGTAACACCCATTAATACTTATATGGTAGTAGTAGGCCTATTTTAACCAGAAATGTACGAACTACCTTTAAAACTGCATGTATGTGAAAGTAGCTGTTACCCACGGGCTTCAACCCGTTTGACTTCATAAGTATTATAAAACGATTGATTGGTAAAACTAAGTTGTAATAAACAAAACAGAATTCAGTTAATAGAAACAAATAATCACATCTGATTGTAATAAGGTTATAAATCAAAAGAATACGGTACAAATAAGTACAGCTGGGGTATTTTTAACATATTGAAAGTTACCTTTAGAAAAGAATTACGACGTTAAAGGGCAATTTTTGATATAATGGGTAGTTTTGCGCAAGATGTCTCGTCATGACGAACATGTCTTGGCGTTGACACGTACGCCCAGTGTCATCGGACTTGAACTAAACACTAAAAACAAGCTTCAAAATTTTCAACGGGATGAGAAGTCTACTTGTGGCTGGTTTGTCTATGAATAAACTGAACTTAGTGATGGGGCATTCGAATACAGAATCGAATACTTATATCGAATACAACACAACAAAGACTCGAATACTTCTGGCTGTATTCGAATACTGACATTGAAGCCAAACCAATCTAGTTTGAATAGCCAGAGCGAATGAATTCGAATTCGGCCGATGCGTTCCGAGTTCGAATACACTGAATACTAGTGTTATGAATACCTTTGCTTAATTCACTTCACAACAAAAGCTTATAAGTTTACTGACATGGAATGGAATCTTCACTGTACCCGACTCAGGAGGGATCAATAATTAATTGTCTCATTAAAATGTTAAATTCGGATACTAGCCTATCAGCGTTATTAATTATTATATTAAATAACTCAATGAAGTAATGAATCGCACTGTTTTAAAATTGTAATTCACTTCTCACTTAATCTATAATGCATACTTATAGTTATATCACAAGATTAATTGATTCATTACCTAATTGAATGAGAGTGAACAATAATTTATTTAATTTGGGTTTTAGTTTGTTTGAAAATATAACCTATTTATGTTAGAGGAAAACCTAACTACATTTATTTTCATTTAAATATATTTATACATGAATTGCAATACTTGATTTACAAAACTAGACTTGGGAAAAATGAAATTAATTGCCATATTGTTACACCATATATATATAAGTATTCGACCACAAGTATTCGAATACATGTATTCGAATTCTCAAAAGTATTCGATTATCCATTAACTGATTTATTAACTGAACTGCAGATAGAAAGATTTCTAAATATTCTATACTACTGTATAACCCGTACTATAGGTTGCTTAGCTATCTTCCGGTGACAGCAGACATAGTGAAGGATTATGAGCCAATCATCGAAACCTCCTAGTGAGGGCATCGACTTTCGGCTTTTCAAATAAAATATTTAAATTTTTTTAAATGCAAAATGATAAAGTATGACAATCCAAATCGGATTGTCTTATAGTAGCTACGCTAGAAGCAGTGCGAGAGTCTAGCGGAAACGGAGCTAATTTGGGAAACTGCCTGGACATAAAATAAAAAACTAGTCAATTTTAAATTCCATTTTTACCTTTTATCTCTTGTTACGGCAATCATATCAGCATTTAAGCTAGTTTAGACAATAAAATTTGAATAATTATAATACTCAAACGAAAGACAAAGAGATAACGATGTGAGCGAACTCTAACGGCAAATAAGTGAACCGCTTACAACCTATCGGGGACCGGGCGAACTAGCTCCACTGGACTACTGTATTCTTATTGTCTTGAACATCATTTATAAAACGAACACGTGACTTATTGGTCAAACATGGTGCAGGTATGGTAATATTAAAATATTCACTGTCTACCTAGGTATTTAGAACTGAAAATGGAAAAAAAGTAAAAGTAATTAATTCATAAATGGACACTGAATATAACAATAAAATAATATAGGGTTTTAATACAATGATGGTGGGGTTTTATCTGTCTTTAAAACTATTATAAGAATTACATATTACATATTTCAAATTACATATTTCATATTGGTACCCCAGCATTCGGTAGCTCAAACAGTTTTGTTTAAATTAGTTGAAAAAAACTGTGTTGATTGTCGTGCTAATTGAAAACCTACTTATTCTTTTTAAATAAACAAGTTGTATTTTCTTTTTAACATGTTTTCCGGCAAGAAAAGGCTAAGTTTGTAACTAAATGAACTAAGGTCCGTGACTCTAGTATAACGGCCATTTAGGATGTCAAAAACATAGTTTATTCTAAACTCTAAAGAAATAAAGAAACCAGAGATACAGTCTCCATTGTAACAAGAGAAATGTTGCTCGTGAGAGCTGAAATTAATCATCGTCTGGACGTCCGTAGAGCAAGAAATGGTAGTTATGTTGAAGCTTAATAGCTATGTATACAATCTTTTTGATGTTAGGAATTCAACAACATAAATCATATTTTTGTGTTTCTTTTCTCGTTTTCTTTTTATTTCATAGCTAAACCCCACCATCATTTTATGAAAACCCTGTATATTATCATCTCATTTGGGTTTAGAAAAATACACGAGTATTAATAAGGTGATTAATAAAGTGATAAAGTTTTACAGAGAATTACACAGTTCCTACTAATATACAGTAGAACAGCTGCTGTTATCTATCAGATAAACTAAAATCAGCAATCTGCTTTACCGACGTGGGCTAGTAGTTTGAATGATGTCCACCAGTCCTTGTTCCCTGGGATTTCTTGTTTCAAAAGATTTGACAATTATTAATTTAACGTTGGCCTTTTTCTTATACGTTTCTAAGTTAGAATAATAGTCGAGATGTTAAAAAAGTGTATTCTGTTTTTATTGTCATTACCGATAAAAATCACGTAGCACTGCTGGACGGCCGGCACACGTCACGTTAGTTCAGTGACGTCACGTTAGTTCAGTGACGTGTGCCGGCCGGACACCCGTTTTATGCATGTGTGTTTAATGTATTTAAGAAAATTTTTACAACATTCAATGAATTTAATATTTTAACGTTCGTTTTGAAAATGACTACTTAGTAGTCGAAACTAGTCAACAGAAGTTAGACTGAGTAATTGTGGAAATCAAGGTACGTAACCTGTGGCAAAGCCATAACAAAGGACTGTTTTTAACATATGTAATTAATGCTATATGTTGTGAATATAAAAAGAAAACAATTTGAGTTGTACTAGTTGAACTAATAGCAAAAGGATAATGTTAACTGAAACTTAAACTAATTCAATTGTCAAAAATAAAACTTCTTTCACACTTCCACATTTATATAATTTACCTAAATTAGAACACCGTGACATAACCCGTTATAATTGATTACCAATTCCGGAAGGCTTCAACATGAATAAAAACGTTTGAGGATGGTTTAGTTGTTTTTATTATAATCTAAAATGTTTAGATTATAAAGTTAGGTGCACCATTTCAATTCCACCCACAAAATGAAGCTGTACGCAAAAAAATCCACAACAAGCGCTCCGCACATATGAACATCTACAAATTAATACATAATATCTAAGGGCCCTTTCACACGAGGCCAATGGTGGTGGCCATGTGGCCATGTGTGGACTAGGGCTTAACGAAATCTTACAATCAAATTGTATTAAAATTGTTCAACACCGACACTATAAGATCACTGAAGGATGATGTTAAATGGATGAAATAATTACCTTTTTCATCATACTGCAGCAAAACCCGATTTTTAAATGTATGCGTTGCGGGTCTAAAGTGTGGCATTTTTACTCCCTAGAGAGCAAAAAGCCTTTGTAGTCCCTAGGGAGCAAATATCATCCGTCGTAAACAGTTGTATTTTGATTGTGCAATCGCATGGATCAAAATTATTTATCGATTGATTTATTAGGTAAGGTTTTAGTGTATTGAGGCATTATTATAGTTCGATATACCGATAGACATTCGTAATAGACAAAAAGTGTCTTTTCAATCCTCATTCATTTTCCGACCTCGGCTTTGCATCGTTCGTAAAACTCGAGCTAGGGTGAACAAAGAGTCACTTTACACCCTAGTGATGAATTATGCTATTTACTGACTAACATCAGGCGGTTTTATAACCAGGACCAAAAAAAAATTAATGATAAAAAACAGCTTGGCTGGGTTTTGAGCCATCAAAAGCTCCTGACTTCTCAGGATCGAACTGGCAAACTTGTGATTATGAGGTGTATGGCTATGAGGATATATAGTGACGTCAGCGTGGTGGCCCAGCCAGTGGCAGTATATATACAGGCCACGCAGACCTCTTCTGTGCCTCACTACAGCCATGGTGTCCTCAGTGGTCGTGTTGGTTCTAGCGGTCTGCTCCTCCGTTATCGCTTATGACTTCCAAGATTCCAACTTCAGTAAGTCTTACTTATTAGTTTGGGCCTTAATCCATACTAAATCGGTAGAAAATTTAATTTAAGATTTCCACCTTAAAATTCTAGCAGTTTTATTTATGTAAAAATGGGTTTATCCTATCTTATATTTTAAGGTGTCAAACTATTTTGTGAGGATATAGGTGTTTTTAAAGAGAGAAGTCACTACTAACATTAACTCTATGTAAAGTAAAGGTAAGCGTAGTTAATTTCTCTTGGGAAAATATTAGTATTAGTGATTTATCTTTATAAAAAAAGAACCGTATTTTCTCTTACTCCGTATGTTGGTAAAACACAATAATTGTGTTTGCTAATAACTAATAAACAAAAATCTATATTTCACAGCCAAAACAAAATTTCCTACCTATGTTTAATGTTTCCTATCATTTTGACTTACTTACAGGGTACCTACCCTATCAATGAGATTTGTGTTTGGCTTCATGTAAACTTTGTTACAAGAAAACACAAATAAACAGTAAAGATAGTATTGGAAAATTTAATGTTTTTTGAAAATTTTAAAGACGTTGTTAAAAGAAATCCAAATTAAAACTAAACTGTAAGTATTGATGGCATATAGTAAAATACGGACTCTCTTTGTATTCAAGTCAAAGTTGTATAATCTGGAAAGTTCTACTTTTTTAAATTTTAAAACAGTGACAGTGAAATTTATAGACACGCTTGTATGTTTGGGTTTAAACGTTAGGCATTTCAAAGTATGATTAATGTTAGCTTAAAAATATAGAAAAAACCGAAAATATTCCTTTTTTCGAGCGAATTGTTTTAAGATCATTAAACAAATTTAAATGCATGCCTTTGCAGGGCTAATTTAATTTGAATTCTTGACTTAATTGCATGGTTAATGATAAATTTCTTCACATTTCCAATAAAAGATTACAAAATAAAGTTACTTTTGTTATTCTGCAACAAACACGGCTGTTTTCAATACAAGCACTTTTTGTCTCCAAATCAGTAAGTTAACAAGCGAATTTCAGGACAATAGATGTACATTTTTAATAGCAAAACTAGACAACAACAATTTTGGGAGGTAATTTATATCGTTTAACGTATGTTTTGTGAGTTAATCAGCTTAAAGGTCAGTGCAATACGAAAATTATAGTTTATCATTTAGGCCAAAATTAGGTTACAAACCAACTCTTTGATGACGTATGCTTAAAACCGTGCAAGAGTCCCACATCCATGTGAATTTTATTGCCCTTGAGTGTTATGATTCTCGGAGTGGTTGTCACACGATGTAGTTTTGAACTGCTAAGTCTTGACTTGTTTATTAATACTTTGTAGCTGTTTAAGTAAATTCAATTTTTTGTAAAATAACAACAATAAATTAATCGGAGATTCCGAATGTAAATAATTTGACCAAATATCGTTTGAATAATCTTTTATAATTTACAGAGTTGGAATACACACTTTTTTGTCATATTTCTTAGGATATTGTTAATTGTTATTTACAAGTTAGTTAAACTATAGCAGCTTCCATGCAGTTCACTCAACATAATAGTTCCTAGACCCGCTCAAAATGTGTGTTACTAAGCTTCAGTGATGGCGTTTACATCGATGATAAAGTGACGGGTTTCATTTAATGTTTTACATGAAAAATATAGGTATCTAGGAAAATTTCCCTTAAAAATTGATGACGAATAAAGTTGTCTTTTGAAAATGCAATGATATACGGTATGTGTAATGCCAAATACAGTTATATGAATGAATGATTATGCATGAATTTGGAAGATAAAAATATTAGAAAATAAACAGCAACTAGTTTTTTATTCCATGAAATGATAGAGTAACTTATCCCTACAACAAAATTAAAACCTTAATAATTTGGTACCATTCATAATCAGTTTTAATGATTGTCATATTAAAAGCAATCCAAAGAGACGTGTGTCTTTATTCTATGTGACGGTTAAACTATTTACACATGATCTATTTACACTGTTTGTCTATGCTGGTCCCTACGTTGAGTTTTCACATAATAACATTGATAGAACCAGTCCTTCCGTTTACACGTTGAAGTTTTTGCCAGTTTTAGAATCTATATATTAATTTGAAACTGTTTTTCTTTGTCATAGCTAAATTGAGAGAACGGCTGGGCGTAGAAACTCGGTAGAGGTGTCTAAAGAAAGGTCTTGGTCTGTAGATGAGCCATCAAAAGAGAAACGTGGTAAATTCCCTTTGGGCTTTGCCCCAGAAGCCTTTAAAGTTGCCTCTTCAGATTTGTTTACATTACGACCATATGCATAATTCTACACTACCTTTTAATAAAACAGCTGTTAATATTTAAATTGTGATTTATTGAATTTTTCAAATACAGGATTTGCAATGGGTTTTTCTGATTTAAAAATCGATTTTATTCTGCATCGTGTCATGTTTTGCAATATAATGTTCTATTACCAAATCAGTGGAAAATCCTAACATCACAGTAACTCTTAAAATTATTTCTTATGGAGTTAACTTATATCTATTGTTTGGCTTGGTTTCTGCCTCTTTTACCACTTCTTGGAGATTGTACGTAGGTGACATTCTTTGGCGTATTGCATCTGTAGACGAAACTTGGGTTGGTGAAATTATTACAATAGAAAAAAACGAGAAATCCTGGACAATTTGATATAGGCTAAAATAAAACTGAATTAACAATATGCTACATTTCTTGAGCAATCATTGAAATAACCGATTTGCAAACAATGGAAACATAGAAAAAGTCAAAGAACACAACAAAGTAGAAGAAAATTAGAAGAAAAGTAGGAGAAAAGAAATAATGTTTTTTTTTAATTTATAATCGTTATTATAGACCTAATGCCCTAATGCGGCTATGAGAGGGAAACATTTGTAGAAACACTAAAAAACAAGATCTGCTTTTTGAAAAAAAGATAAGATATTTACAAAAGATTTTGATTATTTCTAACTGTTGTGTAGATCGTGAGTATTTCCATAATCTTTGAGTCGCCTGTAATGCTTCGCAATTGCTCGAATTCGAGCAACAGGTAGAGTAAAAATTAAATTGAAATAGAGTTGAATACTACCAACAGAGTGCGAAGATGTAGCCTAAATTACTGATTTCCATTTTTTACCTAGCCTAACCAAAAGGACAATTTATTGCAAGCTATCGTATCATTTTTGTCAAATCAACTACTTTTGTATTACAGTAACAAAAACTGAAGGAATAACTAGTATTGTAGACTGTAACGTACCCCGTGAGTGATTCAACTTTGTTCTTTTTAGCGAATTTCCCATATAGGGAATAAGCTATTACCGTAGTACTCATGGTAAGACCTGGACGCGGGACCGATTTTTTTTTTCGTTTTGAGGTCCCTAGAGGCCAAAAACACCATCCGTTCAAATTCATATATATATATATATATATTTATATATTTATATATATATATATATGTGTCCGTTAGCACGATAACTCGAGCAAAAATGATCCGATTTTGATGAAATTTGGTACAAACGTGTAAACCTACGTTTATTCGAACGAGTTCGCAATCCAGCATGATCGGACCATGGGAACGGGGGTTTACGGGGGGTTTTATGGGGTAAAAATAGGTTTTTCCTATTTTTTACCCAAAAAACATAAAATTTAGCAATTTCTTTTCAAACCATTTTGTAGAGCTTAAAAAAACAAATAATTTAGTATATTGAAGCGTTATTATGCGCCTAATGGTTACGGAGAAAATTCCAAAAAATTGTAAATTTAAAATTCCAATGTTATTCTTATGGAGAATAAGTAAACTGTTGTAGTTTGCTTGTTTATGAACATATTTTGATCAAATTTGAAAAATATTTTTATTTCTTACTAACTATTAACATTTTACAAAAAAAGAACAGTTTTACCCTCCCTGATGCAGCAAACCTAAGTACTTGTTAAACTAATTCTATTTAAATAGGGAATAAATGTTATATTTTTAAGTAGACATTTCAGTGTAAATCCAATCAGTCAAATGGAAATTCGCTTAGTCTGCAGGTTTGCTGCGGCGGGGGTATTAAGTTATAAAATTGGATAAAAGCTTGTCCGTATCGATGGAATGCATACTTCAAGCATGCAAAGTTAAGGATAGCATACTTGACCCCTATCACACTTTTCCGTCTGGATATGTTGCGGAAGCCCATGAACTCGGCCCAATTTTGAGTTGCCCGTCTGGTCTTGACCAGGACAATTAAAGCCCCAGGCACCGCGGGTTAGAGACCCGTTACCATCTTGATGGTCAAACCCGCAAACTCGTCCAACAACTGGCGAATCACTCCAGTTCATCTCAAATCTTAATAAACGATCCAGCTGATCATCTTAAATAATGTCCTTATGAATATTATCTCAAAGAAAGTACCGGCTGCCACAGTTATTTGCGAGATTGTAGAATAGTACATTTTCGTGTCCCCAATTAAGCATCCTAAGATAGGCTCTAATCCGAAATAATTTAATATTTTTTTTTTTAATACTTCAGCTAGGGCAGAGGGTCACATAACTAAACCACAGCTAAAATCCATTGTGTTTGGCATGATTTGAACCGAGGACCTTGGGTACCGAAGCCCTGAGCGCTAATAACTACGCGTGCTACTATACCAGCTCGCTACCCTGTAGATTGATATAAATGCAGTTACATCTTTAGCTTAAAACTTTGCTAGGTAATCCAATAGCCTCCGTTGGTGGATGGGTATGGATAGTCTAACCATACAATGTTAACCGGTTCGATCCTTGAATGGCAGAAACCTTTTGATATTTTGAAACTAATATGCAGCCGTCTTTGATCATTAAGGGTAATAAAAAAATTGTTGAAGCTAAAGAAACACTGGTCTTAGGCAGTAGGTAACATAAATACGCAAAGCACCCCACTTCATTCAACACCTACCCTCCACTCATATTTGAGTTGAAATACAGTATACACAGAGCTGCTTTCCTTCTAAATTATTATAACTACGAAAGTTTTCCCAACAAAAGACATTGTTTTCAAACTCGTCCCATCCTAAATGGATTGCTCATCGAAACTGACTGTTTTTACCACTTAACGGTGTTTCAAAACTGGTTTAGAGATTGCAAAAATATGGTGGTATAAATAACACATATTTACCTTCCTGTTAGATTTAGCTCATGTTGCTTGTATTTTTCAGATGAAATACTAGCGGATCAACTAGAGGACCTGGATCTTGCTTTCTCCTTTAGACAACGCCGTGGAATCTCGTCGGAATCTTCAGCCAATCCTTCTGATAAGCTGTTTAAGTGCAAGCACCACTATGGAAAGGTTTGGTGCTTTGAAGTTATTTAAACTTTATTTTATGTTATTATTTTTTTAGTTTTTGGTTGTCTATGTTATATTGATCTAGGTGAATGTTTTTAACTTAATAAAAATATTGACTACAGTTAGGTGCAAATAGTAACAGTTGAGAAATAATTCTGATCGACCATATTAACACTTATGTTAGAAGTATGTATTGTATAGTAATTATGTATAACCATAGACTAACCAACAGAGGAAACATGTTTTATGGCATAACTTTCTCTTCTGTCAATTACTTCAAATCATTGCGCAGGATAAAGATGTATTTACAATAATGTTTGTCCCAGTCTTGTTGCGGCACTGGCAAGTGGATGAAACATTTTGCTCCTGGCATAGAAGACTCTGTCAGGGAGGCTTACGGGGAGTGCTACAAAGATTTCCAGCAAAGACTGAACGCCAGCGAAGCCAGTATGTTGAATTTTTATGTTTCCACTAATTTAATTTAGTAAATTAACTATTTCAGACATAAATTGTAATTTATGACAAACTTGGACAGGTTGAAAACAGATATGTATGCAAAATCATTAAAAAATTGTGATCGTCTGTCTTGACAACCAACATCTGGTTTCATTGCATCTCAATGATAGAGTCTTAAATATAGACACCTATACAATTTTTCTCGAATTTGAACATTTAAAGTTCAAAGTACCTTTTATGTATACAATGTTTTATCATTTGGATACCCGGTTCCATGTACCTTGTCTTTTGCAAAGTCAAGCTAAAACAAGTTTTGAATTGTGGAATGACATTTTATGCATATTTATTGCATCACGTGTTTTGGATGATAATTTACACCAAAACATCTGTGATGTAACTTAAATCGTTATATTACAGAGGAACATCATGACAAAAGCAAATCCCACTTGGAAACTAAAATCAAATCAAATCAAATCATCTTTATTTTTGCTCAGAAAAAAACTGTATAATAGCGTCACAAGAATATATAATAAAACTAAATTATAAATGCTTTTAGAACTAAAACGTAACTGAACAGTATCTTAATTCGATCGGCAACTTAAAAAAATCTTTCACAGTGTAGGGAGCTTGTTCCAAGAGTATGCGTTTGACCGCTCTCCCAAATTTGTCTTTGTCTTGCTGTACTTTCAGGGGTTCAGGCAACACATTGAAAAACCTGATACTATTATAAAATAGGTGTCTCTCAAAGAAACTTGTCCTGTGCTTAGGTAGCTTAATATTGTTTTTTTTTGTCTGAGAGTGTACTGCATTGAATGGAACTGCGGTTGATACAGATGATAATTTCTTTTTAAAAACGATAGACAACTGAGTATGTATATGGATGGAAATGTGAGAATATTGTATTCCTTGAAGAGAGGCTTGCAAGAAGTACGACGGGATATTCTGAAGGCTGCTCTTAGGGCTTTTTTCTGAAGACGGAAGACAAACTTTGTTCGAACGCTCTCACAGCCCCAAACTGCCACCAAATACGACAATAATGGGCAAATCAGCCCATAATAGGCACTCAAGGTTACACGAGAATCGGTAAACCTCGAAAGACCTCTGATCACAAAAATTCCTGTGCTAATTCTTCTGGATATGACTATATTTTTTATAAACTATATTTTGGTGGAAATTCTTCTAGGTTATTTACAATTAATATGTGTCCGTATTTTTCAGATGCTGAAGTCTCATTTTTCTCCTGCGAAAGCGCCAACCAGATGAAGATGAAAGTTATTGTAAGTGTAAAACATTTTAAATTATGATTTACTACTAAAGTGATTCTCTAAGTTTTGTAGCCATCAATTGGACCCAGAGCTTATTAATTGTTCCAGGTTTAAGAAATTAAAAAAGTCGAACATTGTATGAGCATGTCAAAGTTGATAATTTACTTATCAATAGACTCTTTTTTACTCTGGGTTTTCTATCAAAAAGTTGCATCACTAAATAAGTTGCTGTAAATTTTACAGCCCTCACCCGTGGTGAACCAACGATCACATATAGACATAGCGAATTAAATATAGACTGTCAGCCAAGCTGCGGTTACCATGGTTAACATAGGTTCTGGCGCACACCACTGGGAGGGCCGTTTAGTTACGTAGCGCGTACGCCGTAACTAAACATTGCGTTCCCAGCGGTGTGTGCCAGAACCTATGGTAACCGCAGCACAGCTGACGGTATGTATTTAATTCTTTTTGTCTATGGTACTAAGTGATAGTACGTTTGACAATGGATATATCATACTAAATTATTTTAAAATAATAATGGGGTTAAAATCTGATATAGGCCTCCATACCGTTAATAGTTATTTCAGCAAAATGACGTTGGCAAAAGCATTTTACCTACATTTTTAGGGGAAAAATACAATTTTGTTTACTGATAATGTTATCGGTTTCAGTGTACTGCTGAATGCATCGCAAAGAAAGCTGACTTGGTAAGTTGATAAAATTATTTATTTTTTAATAATAGCTACAATAGTAAGATAATTAAAACCTTAAACACAATTTGTCCACAAATATTTTTTCGCATTGTTTGCCCTTTGAAATTTTTTTATAATTACCTAAAACAATTTTGGGTAAAAACGTTCAAAATTTGTCTTTTCTGGTCTGGTTTTTTATAGTGTAACAATATAACCCCCGATAAAATTTTCAAATTCTGTAGATTTGTAGTACAGTATTACTTTCTCAAAGATATTACAGTTTAATATCAATATTTCAATCTGTTGTATCAAGTTTAGTAGTACATTTTCAATTTATTCCCAACAAAAATTACAGGAACATATAATAGTAATATAAGCACGAATATTTCAATCAAAGTGATAAACTATCACATGGGCTTATGAACACATTGTGAACTTTTTATTGTGAATGGTTTAAATTATAGACCAAAAGAATTAAATATAGACTGTCATCCGTGCTACGTTTACCATGGTTACCATAGGTTCTGGCGCACACCGCTGGGAGTGCCGTGTAGTTACGTAGCGAGTAAGCCGTAACTACATAGCGCTCCCAGCAGTGTGCGCCAGAACCTATGATAACCGCACCACGGTCTATATTAAGTTCTTTTTCAATCCATTGTGTTTGCATTCAGTAACTCGTCATATTATACTGAGAATAGTGAAATATGTCCATGGGTTACAGATCAACGAAGACGGAGTTGTGAATACGGACAAAGCAATCAGCCACATGGACAAGATAGAGTATGAAGATTGGCAGAAACCTATCGTAGTGGACGCCATCACCAAGTGTGCACCGCTGGTCAAGAGTAAGACAGCTGTTAAAATAAAGAATATACAAATAGAAAATAATAACATTTCACTATACATGTTGAATACGATATCTGTTAATACTTTAAACTATTCACTTGAGAATTTTATGCAGATATTCTAACTTTATGGAGTTTAGTAAATTAGGATAAAGAGAACATAGTAGAATCTGATAGAGTCTGCAACAATTATAGTCCCCTGTCAAATGTACATATACAGGCTCCCGTGTGCTCCTTCATGAGGCAGGTGTGGGAGTAGTCTTAATCTCTTCGTTTGACCTTGGAGAAATACAATTTCGATGGTGGCACTCTTGAAAATTGTGCGTTTGAACGCCGAATGGTAAAAAACAAAATGGCCGCCATCGCAAACTTGTTTTCTTACTTATATCAGTAACCGTTAGGGCTACAAAAGAATTGTAGATACCAAAATGTAGCTATTTTAAATCTGCACAAAAATATGATTACAGTTTTTATGTAGGATCAACCATTATTTCATAAAACATAATTTTATATTTTTCATAAATAAAATTAATCAGGGTGGATGTAATGTCCCAGGACAGTTAAATATTTCAAAAAGTAATAAAGGGTGTTTCAGTAAAGCGTTGTGGACTGTGCAGATTCAGATTCTATGTGCAAAAATAAGTCAAAAATGTTGTATAAATTTGTTTCGATTTCGGCTTAGTTTAGCCGTAATCCACCATTTTGAATTTTTTGAAAATAACTCATAACTCAATAGCCCTTTGAAGATATTTTTATGAAACTTGGTATAAACTTTAAGTCTAAAACTATTAACATTCTCCAAAAAAATCTTTGATTAGGCTCATCGAATTTCAAAATGGCGGCCATTAAAAGTTTTTAAAGTCAAATTCCATGAAAACCAGCAATTAAAACAAAACTTTGAAACACAATATGTAAAGTCCTTTTTATTACAAATCGAACGACACTTTATTTGCGAAAATCGGATAATAAATAAAAAAGTTATGTAACTTTTATAATGTTTTTGTTACTAGTTTCTATGGAATTTAACTTTGTGGTGTTAAAATGACTGCCATTTTGATAATTAGCATTAATAACAAAAGTTACATAACTTTTTTATTTACTATCCGATTTTCGCAAATAAAGTGTCATTCGATTTGGAATAAAAAGGACTTTAAATAATGTGTTGCAAAACTTTATTTTAATAGCTGGTTTTCATGAATTTGACTTTAAACATTTTAAATGGCGGCCATTTTGTTTTTTACCCACAGCGTTCAAACGCACAATTTTCAAGAGTGCCACCATCGAAATTGTATTTCTCAAAGGTCAAACGAAGAGATTAAGACTACTCCCACACCTGCCTCACCAAGGAGCACACGGGTGTACATTTGACAGTGGACTATTAGTTACGTTTCCCCCTTTTCAGAATATAGTTATGCGGGACATAAAAAGACAATATTGTTAACGATAAGTAGCCCTTTCAACATATCATTACAAGATTTGGGTTCAAGAAATTAAGCACTATTTTAGACCAAGACACTCTGTCAGTGACTTAAATATAAAAGTATGTTGTTTTCGTACAAAATTAAAACAATAGTTACAACAAGTTACAGTTGTAACATAAGAATTGAATGTCTAATTCAATACATTGGTAGTTGGAATTAAAACTATCAGCCAATAGTTATATCGCTTGCACGTCGTGATATTTTTGACTTAACCGTAAATTACTACATTTTAAAATTTGCCTACGCTAATGTTCAACATTGACGACGAAAATGCTATAGTTCAGGTGTAAAAAATTGATAAAAGGAAGGAGGATTGTAAATATAGTTTACAATATCCTATCGCTCAGTCAAATAAGATGAGACGATTAACTCAACACCTTCATACACTAAACTAAAAAGATTCAGATACTTTCATTACACAAAGGAGAGAGAGACATAGTTATTAAAATAATAAATAAAACAAAATTTTTGTTTAAAATTTAATTTTTGTGTTTTTGTTTGTTTAGCTGAGAAAGTTTCCACTCCCCACACTGGTGATATTTCATGCAGCCTGGCAATGATAAGTTTCCAGCATTGTGTATTTGTCGAGAGTGAAAAGGTATGTAAAATTCATTAAAATGAATTTTTATCCCATTAATCCCATTTAACCTATCATTTAATTAATTAACAATTAGTTACTGACTCAGGATGGGTAACATTTAAATTTGTTGCCATAAAAATCTATCATTTAAGTAATAACTACTGTATTTGATTTTTGAGTAGCATTAATTAGTAATTTTTCTGCATTTAACTCAGATTGGTCAGTTACTCTGCACATTTATCTCAATTACGTTTGCATACATTTAATTTTTGAATGGTTTGTATACAAATCAAATATTTCTTTTTCAATGACCTCAGTTTGGGTTTTTCATCAAATGGGCTGATTTACGGGGGTGTTTCAACTTTGGGCAAATATAGATCGCCAAATATTAAAAAAAATATAAATGTACAGTATCTAAAACTACAATTTATACTTTATAGGTCTTGCATGAAATGGTGATGACATTTAAAAGAATGTAGTTGTTATGGATATTAATAAATTTACTAGCTAATCATTAATGTTAAGAAGTGTCTTAAAATCAGCGACCAAAGAATAATAATTCAAATGTATGATTTTTCTGTTTCAGAACTGCCCGGAAAATCAGAAGAAGACTGGTAAGATTTAATGTTAGCCTATTTTATTTTATTATCTACCAAATAATATTGATTATTCTCTTAAAGTGCATTATTTCATACTTCTTTATAGATAATCGGGATCTAAACTCGTCATAAATTTCAAAAAACAAATAAAGTGGCAAATCTCATTATTTATTTCAAGCAAATTTAGCTTAAATACTGTATACCTTATGGTATTCTTTTCTTCAGTTGTTGACTATTTTGTTGAATGAAAAATTGTATTGTTAATCAATGCAGCTGTTCCCTAACACCAGTAAACCTTTAAAATGGTTTCAGAGTTATAGCTTGAACCTAAATTTATGAAGTTAACAGCCTAAAATTTTCTCATTTATTTTGTCCACTGCTTAGATAAAAAAAAAAAACCTACACATTATTAACTTAGTTTTTTATTCTAATATTTCAACAAAATAATGTTTGAACCGAACCTATAATACATAATATATCAATAATATTTTAATGAATTTAAATTATTAACTTAATTAACTAATTGAACGAACAATATTCCTACATCTAGTTGATGAGCCTGATGAGCCCTGCCGAGTGTCATGATGAGTATTACGATCACAATCTTGTTTTTGAAACAAAAATTTAATTTCAATACAAATTTATTTAATCAGACATTGAATTACATATTAAATTTTTGTAGTTTAGGAACGCAGGAATTTCATAAAATCTTAAATTGTGTGTTTTTTACAGACGAGAAATGCAAGAGACATTTTGAGAAATACGAATCCATGAAGCCAAATGACATAGGAAAAATCTAGTAGTTATTGTTTTTGAAAGAAGTGTAGTATTATAGATTAGTATTAAAACATATCATACCATATCTAAAACGGCTTATTTTCCTGACTATTTACTTTTGTATGTATTTCGTATAAAAATTCATTATGTGCCACTAACTGGAATTCGTACTTAAAGACAAAGAAAGAAATATATTACATTTATTTATTTAGGCAAGGATTGAACCTCAAAATGTTTTAACAGAATATTTAAAGCCACGATATGACTTGGTTATGAAACTTAGAATAAACTTTTAGGTTTGTTTCTATGTCTAAAAAAATGCATTTTGTGGAACTTAAACTTTTGAGATTTGTTATGTAAAATTTATTGAAAACGAGGTAACAAAACTCCCACATAATTTTAACTAACACGAACTGCTCTAGGTGGTTATTCTGTGTTTTGTAACGTATCTTAAAACTATTTAGAATATTGTTGGTCTCAAATGTTTTCCTTTGATTGCAGAAGGATTTACTGTACAAGAAACTCATTAATAAAAAAATAAACTAGCTAAAACTAGCAGTTCAACCACATATCCTAGCTAGAAAATGAATAATATGAAGTAAACGTTACTTTTAAATACATTCTTTGTACAGTATGAAATAAATTTTCATTGATAGAGAGTTTACATTATCCAACACAATATTGTGGAAATTTTTCACCACAATTAGTAAAAAATATATTTTTAAAGAAGTTTCGAGTTCTGTAATCTGAGCCCATCCTCAGATAAGGAAGTTTCAAAACATTACAAGACTAGTACACAAAACCCCCAACCTTCCGGTCTGGTTTTTGAAGATCAGTACGTTTCCAGACCCCAAAACGTCACGAAAACTTTGCTTTGGCCAATCATGAAAAGATCCGAAACCTATTAGATGGTACAAAACAAGTTAAAAGTGACCTAACAGTTCATTCTTTTCAGCAGTGTTCTTCAAGCGAAGTAAATTTTAACTTTAATTTGAAGTGACACAAAACATAACACTCGAATCCAAAACAACAGATCAATTATCATTATGCAACTCTATAATTGACATTGTCCTTGGTCACACGTATGAAATAATGGACAAAATGATGTAAATTAACAAGGAAGGTGCAGAAAATGTCACAGCTGTTGGTGACAATAATAGTATGATTGCCGTGACAATGGGCGGACATCTCTCACGTATACAAGACAAGGAAATGTCCTTCTCAACATACCTATTGAGTCAAAGTGAATTAAAATGATAAGTTAGAAAACATAAAACATGTCATATATTAATTTGACACTTAGAAGTAGTTGAACAACAAATACTTAATGCACTGCACAGAATACCTGTTTGGTATTGGTTATTTGAGAAAATAAAATGAAAAATCAAGAAAAAATGGGTGGTACATGGGGAGTAGATTGAAGGAGTAGCAGGATAATGTTGAGCAATGGAAAAATTCAAATTGAAATCATTCCCGCCGCAGCAAACCTATAGACTAAGAGAATTTTCACTAGCCTGATATAACTCAACTCAAATATTTTCTTAATAATATGACACTCATCCCCTTTCAAACTAAAATTATTTTTAATGAGTAATTAGGTTTGCTGCTACAGGGAATGTAATAAGATGTGTTTTTAGTAAAATATCAGTATATTAGTCTGAAATAAAAAAATCGGAATTTGATCAAAATATATCCATAAATAAGTATTACAGTTTTTAACATCCATTACTAATATACAGTTTTTGAAACATTACTTCTTAACTATTTAGCTTATATCAACGCGTCAATATACTAAATTATTTATTTTTAAGTTCTAAGGTTATGAAAGAAATTGCAAAATTTTATGTTTGAGAGTCAAAAATAGGTGGAAATCCATTTTTAACGCATAAAGTCCAGTTTAAATAAAACTAGTGGAACCCCGTCGAAATCGACGGTTAATCTTAAGGTTTTATGTAAATTCAGCTAACTGCGTTGGATAGAGTGAAGTCATTAAAATCTTAGTTATATGAAGGGAGGATAAGCAATAATAATGACGATTGTGTTCCCTAAAAAACGTGATTGATGAATTCGTTTAACACAATATATCCTACCTTTCTTTTTATCGGATTTAGGTTGCCCAAAAGGTTTTTTAGGAGTCTTATAATTGTTTGTTCATGAGTTTGTTTCATACCAAAGCCACTTTCACTATATGGGAGAATGAGTTCATATCATTAGTCTATCATGTTACGGAAATAGTCAATATTTATTACTAACCACTAATTCCATCTGCTTTAGGAAATTCATTCAGATTGTATCCGGATTTATAAGTAAATCTTCATATTTTTTTTTTAATAAAAATATCTGATTCTCTAGAAAGCAGTAACATTCTTACTTCGATCTCAACAATTTTAAATCCTTCTCTTGCCACATCAACCAATGTATTTAATCATCCTGTTCTTACTTGATAATTCATTAACTTATGGAGTAGTTTTGCCTTGTCCATATAGATCACATAAAGCTGTGCATGTATTTCGTGGATTGGAATGAACCATAATTGTAGGAAATTGTATCACAAATCTTGAACATTTGCGGAACCAAATCCATAACCTAGTCCAGCATTGGTAACAAATTATGCAAATGCGATGAGATGTGATGACACTGTTGTGTTTCCGAATGTTTTGTATGTAGTGAGGTTTAGATGCGTTGTTCAACCTAGCTACATGTGTACATCAAAGTAAAAACTGTGTACACTTTTTTTTAAATACCTGAATTGACATTAGTTCACCTACTTTACCAAAACCATAGACTCCGTAGTTAGTCTATTCCAAAACTTGAACACAGCTCTCATCCTCAACGTACTCATCTATGACACAATTTTCAACCTGATTATCATATACTGTTATACCAATAAATGAATCTCAGGTGTTCTTTCTTGAATTTAAAAATAAATGGTGATTTAAAGTAGGAAAAAAAGGCAAGTGCCAACCTTACAATATGTATAAGCTAACCCGATAAGGAATTGTTATATGTTCCTTTGAAATTGATAAGTCACACTTATTTCATAATTTAAAATTTTCTAAGAGCAATAAAGCATAGATTTTTGAACAAAACATTTCAAATGTATCATAAATTCATCATTTTGTTGAAACTATAAAAAACTTGCCATGCAGTGGAGAATCCATTTAAAATCATAAATAATAATGTAAACATTTAATTTTGACAGTTTCAGTAGACCTTTGAATACAATTTTAATATTAACATATTTACATTTTAATATTAATATTATTGCTGGTTCATTAAAAGTAGTGTAAAATTATCCATATGGTCGAAATGTAAACAAAATTGCAGAGTGAACTTTAAAGGCCTCTGGGGCAGAGCCCCAAGGAAATTTACATCGTTTCTCTTTTGAGGGCTCACCTACAGACCAATACCTTTCTTTAGACACCCCTACCAAGTTTCTACGCCCAGCCGTTCTCTCAAATTATCTGTCACAAAGAAAAACAGTTTCAAATTAATATATAGATTAGGTCTACATGTTTGTACTACGTTTTTATAATGTATATGTGCATATGAGCGGATGGTGCTTTTGGCTTCTGGGGACCTCAAAACGAAAAAAGTATAACGGTCCCGGGGCTAGAACCTATCTTGAGATCTACAGTAACAGTTCATTCCTTATATAGGAGAATTTCATTGACTGAGAGGGAGAGAAATTTAGTTCTTATTTTTACAACAGTTTACAGAACAATACATTTTTTAAATTCCACAAAAGTTCTTAAACACTACAAAAACAATGAACAATTAAATTTGACAATAAATTCAAGTATTACATAATTATAAATATTTGTAGACTCTTTATAACATAAGGGCAAGAAATTAAACTTTTTATGAACAATACCTACGTATAGTCATGTATTAAACAGTGGGGTTTCTCGGTTTGAGTAAATTTCACTCGTGGAAAGAAATCTACTTGCATGATTTTAGCAGGTTTATTTGCTATATAATACTGTAAGTTATTTGCTGACATCTTTGAAACGTAGGTTTTTGAACAGTATCTTACATTACAAATGAACAGCTGATTCTATCTATAGGACAAACATAGAACTACGTATGGATTCTGCGTTGCCGACGTTGCTAAGTAGTTCGCACATTGCCCACCAGTTGCGCTGTTGTGTATACAACTTAATTTACACGTTTTCCCTTGTCTGTGGTTTTATGAACCTGCACCTTAGTATTCGATTTTATTGGAGTAGAAAATATCAATAAATTAATTAATGCTTAATGCTGTTTATGACTTTTGATTTATGAGCTGTTTTATTTATGAGTTTGATTATATTACTTTTATGCTGTTAATAAATTGATTTATTAACACTTATTTAGAAAATAAAAAGATTTCTCAATTTTGTGTAATCATACTATTGCAAGAATTGATTGTGTATCTATTTTTCAATTTCACATACATTATATTTCATCACTTTGGCGTAAAGTAACTCTTTTCGACCCTAGCTCAAGTTTTACTATCGAGGCGAAACCGAGGTTGGAAATGAGGAAGGTCATGTAAAACACGTGGTGTCAACAAAGGATTTATTTACATTGTATTCTAACACGTGTTCAAATTATTATCATGTTTATTTGTTGAATTGTTTTACTTCAAAGTTTTGTTTCTTTAAGCAAACTCGTGCTAAGATAATCGAAACTTTTACAAAAGTTACACCATGCATTTTTGAACTTAATTTATTCTGCATGTGAATCATCACCACATCTATATCACATCTGAGCATTTGTTCTCAGTCTGAAAAAAACATTGTTGATTTCTCAAATTTTACTAATAAAAGTTCACACTTTTAAAGAGAAAATATAAGTTAGGTTTTATTCATTCTCGATATGTATGTAAACATAAACAATTCAACAAGTATAGCCTAAACATGATAACAATTTGAACACATGTTAGAAATGAAATGTAAATAAAAACATATGTCCACACGTAGCTTAATGCAGATCATATACCGTCTGTGATGGGTTGATAATTTTAAAACATTAAATTTGTGTGTTAATGTCATTGTAATCTAATTGGAAAACGAAAAAAATAGAAAAGTTAACCTT